ACGAGAATCATTACAAAGTTACATTTTCAAAATACTTTCAAAAACCCACACCACAAGCACATTCAAACAAAAGCAACTGATCTAGCGAGTAACTAAGAGCCCATGGAAAACCATGGATGAAAAGGGTGCTAACACCTTCCCTGTTCATAATCTACCCCCGAACTCAAAAACATCTCTAAAGGTATTTCCTGTGCTTTTTCATCTTTCCTTTTTGGATAAAAGAAAAGTCGGTGGCGACTCTTGCTAAACCGCAATATTTGAGAACACAAACGCAAAACACCTCAAGTCAGTTCTCCCACCGTATCACAATCATCATCTTCACGCAACTGCATCAAACAACAACAATACTCTGCTTCAAGTAACGTCAAACCGTTATTGCAACATCAACCTCGATCTTCATAACTCTATCAATTCAATAACAACAGAAGTGAATAGAAACGAAAATCTATGAACGCGATAACCAAAACAGGTAGAGACGAGTGAGGATAAGGTAAATTTGAACCGTACTTGAGTAAACATCATCTATTTCCATTAGTTGTCGCAATCATTTTAAATTTTTGTTGCAATTTTTCATAACTTCGCTTTGAGTTTTATTCTGACTGATGCGTTTAAACTTCGCATTTGTTATTCTTCACGATGAATTCCAGATTGAATGTGGGATATGTTGATTTTGATTACTGAAATAGGAACAGAGAAAGGGGGATTTTGTTTTGAGTAGAGAATAAGCGGAGAAGGATTTTTGTTGTTATTAAATCGTAAATCTGTGAAAGTATAGCGTGAAGAAAAAAAACAATTGAGTGGCTGGGGGTCTCTAGGGTTTGTTTTATGTTTCAATTTCGTTGGGCCTCACATGAATAAGCCATTCCGTCCCATCTCCAAGCCCAACTCGTTTTTTATATCCATTTTGCTTATTTGTTTTATTTTAGTAAATATAATAACCTAAGCCCAGTCCCTTTTTTTATTTTTGGTTCAAACTATTTTTTTATCATGGGGCTGCTGTTTCTCTTAAACTCACTCTGAAAATTCAATGTACACCCCCATACTCTGCTTACACTCTTTTTTTCTAACTTGCTTAGTTTAAATTTTCTTAACTCTATTGTTTTACTAATTAGTTTATTTTTATTCTCAGCTTTATATTTTCTTAATTAGTTTAGTTTTAAGATTAACTTAGCAACCTTGTAAATTTAGTTTAATATTTGTTTTAATTTTGTTAGTCATTTTAGTTAGTTTTGCTTAGTCATATTTCTTTATTTGGTTAAAAATCATACAAAATATTTAGCTTTGCATTTATGTTATTTCTGTTACTTTGATATTGCTTCGTTATCTCTTAACATGTTCTCCTAGGAATCCCATGAAACGATTAAATTCATGTTTGGTCGTTTTTGTGTTGATATTAGACTTTAGGATCAAACTAATTGCATAATAATATTAGGGTAGACTTTCCCCTGAGATTTTTCTTTTGTAATTAAAATTAAAACTTTCTATTCACAAATCAAAAAAAAAAAAAAATTTAATCATTATCCAAACTCATTTTAAAATTAATAAAATACTCAACAAATCAAAACCTCCTCAAAAGGGCATGTTATCTCCGTTCTACCGCGATACAGGTTGTGTCTATTGTTAGGATGTGTGCGTTAACGTCGCCCACTAAAAAATACCAACAAACCAACATTTTTCTAGAAGAACTACGGTGTTCTGATTCCTTCATTGGATACGTAGGCAAAGGGTAGCGAGACCCTTACAAACGCACTAATAAAAAACCATTTCTTCTCCTTAGCAAGTATAGTTATAGATAAACACACCCTTAGAAGCAAACAATCAAAATAGATCCCGTTGAGTACAACGGATGTAAGGGGTGCTATTACATTCCCCTTACATAATCGACTTTCTTACCCTTTCTCTTGGTCGCAAGACCATCTTATCCATCCTCTTGTGGTTTTCTCGATATTTCCCCTTCCTTCAAGATAAATAAAGTTCGATGACGGCTCTGTGTTTTTTGCCAGTAGCTTCAAAATGAAATACACCATAATAAATATTTAAGTTTCATATTAGTTTAGTTTAGTTTTTTAAATAAGAATCCATATTAAATAGCTTTTATTACACAAATAAACTCAATGGATTTCATTATTTAATTGTAGTTCAATACAAGGAGAAATTAAATGAAAATTAATATGTATAATTTAAGAATTGATCGCTTTATCTAACAAGTGAACAAACGAATTCGCTTGACGCTTAACAAACTTTATCGTAAAATTGGAATGAATTGCTAATAAATTTTTAATATTGAAAATGATAAACTAAATTCTGAGTTACTAACATAGTTTGCATTCACAGCTTTGAAAGTCACTCTCAAAAATAACAAACCTCATTTATAACTGAATGACACCTAACAAAGTTTCTTTCAATGTCAAAGTCTCCCCCTTCTATAATGGAGAAACGCCCTACATCTCATGTTATACATGTCATGATGAACATTTTATTAGAGTCTCTATAACACCACCCTCTATTTGTTGTTCTCCTACGATTAGAAAATTAGAGTTAAACAAAAAAGAAAGTATTAATGATACAAATTAAGTAAAAATATAATTCAAAATTATAATTAATTTAAAAAAGCATTAAATATTTATGTTATTTAATTATTATTATTTAATATAAAAATCATAAATATTGAAAAATGTAAAAGACAATTAAGATTAAAAAATTATAACAAATAACTTATAGTATATCACCTTTCTTTATTTATAATTAGGGGTGAAAATAGATGATCCAACAAACAAAGACCTACAAACTAATCTATATAGGTTTATGTCAAATAATATTTTTTAAAATAGAAAAGATCTAACTTTTTTAATAAGCATATTTATTTAAAAAGCTTAGGTTTCAGGCGATAAAAAAATCTTTTAAATCTATTAGACAGATTTATTTAAATAAATATAATTAATTTCATTATTATAATTATATTATACTTTGTACGTTGAATTAAAATACGAAAATAAAATTAGGTTATTTTAAAGAAATTATTTGAATAGGATGAAAACACCTTATGAATTACTTGCCATAAGTTGTTTTAATAAGTTTTCATGAGTAAATAATATCACAAAATTTATGCTATTAAATAAGCTTAGATAAGACAATGCAAACAAACTTTAATATCATTAATCTTTTATTTGTTAGTCTATATAAACATTTTAATTGAATTTCTTATTTACATATTCAAATGAAATAGGTTTTTAAATAGATTATCAGACCAATCAATCTTTCAAAAAAGACCATACTCAAACTTAAAAATAAACATATAATAGATCATAATTTTTAGTTAGATTTTAATATTTTTAATAGGATTAACTTAAACTTTACAAAGTTTAACTCGATTTAGTCTATTCACATCCTTGTTTATAAGATAGTGACCCCCTGCAATCACAAAAACATAGTGACACATATGGCTGGACAACGGTCGGATTGGATTGGATTCGGGTCCAAAAATCCAATCCGACCTAAATCGCGGGTTCATAATGAACATCCAATTTCGACCATTTAAATCTTCGGTTTCGTCGGTTTACGGTTTGTCGGATTGAACCGTTGTCGGTTCGGTTTAATCGGTAATCCATTTAAAAAACTGCAATTAAAAATTAAAAACTAAATGTTCTTTAAAACATAAGCTACCAATGTTTTATTAGAGTTTTTAAAGATAGATCCAGAAAACATTTGGGAATTATCGCAAAATTATTTTCACTGCTACAAAATTGCAAGGAGATTTGGAAAAAAAATCTGAAAATTTTTACATTATCTGCTTTGCAAAGATTTGAGAAATGTTTTGTCAAATAAATTGGGTAAACAACAAATCAAACACAGTAAATTTGAGGTGAGGTAAAGAAGAGAATATGTAAGCTAAATATACTGTTAAGATATAGTACATGAAGGGTATGTTTAATGGGCTTTACAAAAAGTTCAAACCAGTCCATATATTATAGCGGTCGGATTCGGTTAATTTTGAGTTAGATTGTCTCAACCGAACCGAACCGATATAAACAATTAGAAACCGGTTTAAATCAACATGTTAATCCGACACCCATTTTAAAACCGACCGCATGTAAACGGTTATGGTGGGTCGGTTGGATATTCACGGTTTTATCAAAAGCTGTACACCCCTAGTGACACACTCTCTACTAAGATTCACTACCTTTCAATTTTGGTGACTTTGTGACTTTGAGTGTTTATCTTTCTTCAACTTTCTTTTTCTCTCATCTTAATATTATTTTATAGTTACCAAACTGAGATCCAATCCTAACCTATACTTTGGAATTTAGATTGGGTGACGTTGTAGTGCAAAAGGCACATTGCCTTTAGCTCAGTCTGAATCATTGGATCAATCTAATGTTTTCAAACAATGCCAGATGTCCTATTAATTTTTGAAAGATAAAAATCTGAAACACAAAAGCAGGCATTTTATTTTTATCTCTGTCGCCTTTTTAAGCATCTGATTTAACCACCGCTGCAAACCAGTTGCCACCAGATCTACTCTACTGGCTCCGACAACCGACATGTCTTGATTATAATAACCATAATCGCTAATGTTTTGACTCGTTTCAAAGTTCCTCTGTATTTCAATCTCCATAATATGGGTTCTAATTTTTGAATAGGAAACTGCAATCCCAAACAAAACTTCATTTGAACGCTAGCCAACACAGACCATGACATATGGTTGAAGTTGAACATGAAAACATTATGTGTGTAGGTGGAGCAATTATTTGAGGAATACCCACGACATAAACATAAAAGATGGAACCACAGACATTGTATTATACTCCTAACATCAAAATAGACGGGACCATAATAGAACAAAGCGTTGTTGATTTATACTCTAAAAACTCATTAGAAACAAAACATAAGATGTAATCATAATTAAGAAAGAGACAAAAGGTTGCAAAATAAACATAGAAACTCATTTATTCTTTTCTCGTCAAGGAAAAGAAATTTTAGCATCAAAATAAACACGACCATCAATGTTTCAAAAGACATCTAAGATGGTTCAACAAGTTATCAACATATCTATCTTGTCTTTCAGTATTGACAAACAAGTCCTTCATCTCTTTAATATTTTCTCTATAGATCTTTCCCTCTTCTTCAACCATAACCAACCTAATCGAGTTAGCCACAGACTCACTTGTGAACGACCCATCTTGCTCATCCCTCGGCACTGAGTAGCCCATCTTCTTTTCCTCCAACACCCTGGCATTTATTCCCTGATCTGCAAGAAATGTCAACAACACAAGTGGCTTCTCGTTCTGAATTGCTTCCACAACAGATGACCAACCTGCATGAGTCAAGAATCCACCAACTGACTCGTGACCCATTATCTTCATTTGTGGAGCCCAACTAGTGCATACCACTCCAAACCCTTTGGTTCGCTCCTCAAACCCTTCTGGCAATTCCAACACATCCTTGTCCATAGATCCACGTTGAACTCTAAGAACCCAAAAGAATGGAAGCTTTGATTTCTCCAACCCCAAAGCTATCTCAGTAACTTCTTCTTGACTTGGTTTTGCTTCGCTACCGAAAGCAACATATACCACTGTGCCACTTTGTTGCTTGTCCAACCACTCCTTCATCCACCACCATGTGTCACTTTCATCACTGCACTTGAACACCGTTGTGGGGAGTTGGCCGGCGGGGAGAACTGGTTTCTGATGAATGTTTTGGATCACTTGAAACCACTCAGGTTCAAACTCGGTGCAACCGCGAATCAAAATAGTGTCGCAGTTTTCAATACAACAACCAGTACGATACAGGTCAGAAAACCCCGAATCGTTCTCGGATAAAATATCTGCAATCTTCATAATTTCAAAATAACGGAAAGCCACAGTGGTCTGAAACAGAACCCACGGTGGAGCAACCGTGAAATCCTCTGGCTTTGTTCGACCAGGATCAGTACCCTTGAGAACCGAGGCTGGTCCCATAAAACCTATAAGCGGTGGAGTAAAAATAGAAAAAAATACAGATTTTATACCCAGTTTGGATGCCACAGGACCCAACCAATAATGAGTAAAATCATGGAAAATGGAATCAGCGTTAGAAGATTTAAGGAAATGAGTCAAAGGTTGTTCAAGTTTGTCATGTGCATTTTTAAGGTGTTGAACGACATCATAAGAGACATCTATGGTGGCTTCTGCATTTTCAGGAAGGTTATTAACTTTGGGCATGGGAAGGCTTACAAATTTGATGAGAGGAGCTAAGTGTGGTGGGAGTTTAGGGAGGCGCTGTATGTTTCTTGGGGTAGAAACATAGCTTACCCGGTGACCCTTTTGTGCTATAAGTTTGCCTAATTCGAGATATGGAATCATGTGACCAAAGGCTAGCCATGGAAACATTACTATATGAAGTGGTTTCTCTTCATCTCTAATTCTATCCATCATGATGGAGCAATCTAGATCTACTATGCGAGAGACGCGGTTACTATATATATATACTCAAAAATAATAATTTACTGGAGTAATTTATTTCAGTCTATCATGAATCATTATATATATATATATATATATATATTGCCCCCATAGACCATAGTGCATACAACCCACAACTGGCTGGACACGAGGAAAGAGGTGTAGTAACAATCTGTAATTTTGGAATGTCCTTTGTAAAATGACCCTCTTGTGAAAACAAGTTACACTCTCTGAAATGTTTTTGCACATTTTACACTGTCTCCTATAGTTTTTTAGCTTTTTTGATTGTCCAATTTTAATGTGTTGTTTCATGATTGGACAAATGCATTCACCCATTTGATGTATTTGGCTTTTTTTTTTACAGTTGGATTAAAATTAAACGGTTAAATTTTTAGGTCAAATATTACTTATTTTATTAAATTAGAAATTGTATTTAAATTTTAACTGTTTCATCCTGATCTAACTATTGGAAAATGCGTTAATGCAATAAAACTTGATTGCGGTAGATTTGATTTCCAAATATTCAGTCGGTTATTGTCCAATCCTTGTCCAACCCTTGTGCGCTTACTTTAAATATCATTTATTATAGATTTTATGTGTTTTTAACTTTTACATATAAACATAATAGTAGAGATGATGGTAAAAATAAGAGTAAACGTAAATGCAGAAGTATTATATATGAGATTAAAAGACATTATTTTTATTTATGGAAATGCATATAAGATTTCGCAAATCAAGTTTTCTAAGTTTCAATTCTCAAAACTTGAATGTTTTTCACAACAAACAAATGATTCTTTTATAGATAAAGATTCAAGCAGATTTGAAATTAAATTAAACTAAACATAAACTTTAAAAATAAAAATAAAAGTAATGACCCACATGACCTCAATAATTGAATGAAAATAAAATCTTTACTAAAGTAAAGATAATAATAATTAAAAAGTAATTTTGAGTAGAAGATAATTGAGGCTAATAAAGATGACACCTTTTCATAAGAGTAATCTTCGAAATCTTATCTTCCATAATAAATTTTAGAATCTAATCTTCAAAATAATTAAATGATCTTCAGGATCTTATCTTTCAAAGGTATGTGATTATGTAACAATCGTCCTCATTAATATTTTCAGAAGTAACAGCTAAATAGGTCAGTAATTTTGAGCGATCCAACAGGAAAATTGTATCTTTCGGATAAGTAGTCATTTGCAAAGACTTTGATGGGTCTTGAACCAAAAATCTAATTTAGTTGGAAAAAGCAAATCTAGATTAAACTTTAATCATTATTTAGTTAAAAATTTCTTGAATAACTGAGTAGAAGATGAACCTTCCTATAATGGTTTAATCGGAAAAGTCTAGGATTAAATCATTTAATATGCTCGATTTTGAAATCAAAACAAGTAATGTTTGTCATCTGACAAAAATATTTTTTGAAGCTAAATTTTTTATATCTTTTTGTAAAACACTTTGGGAATCTTTGTAATCGTTTTTTTTTTTTGAAAACAAATCATCTTGAAATTTTATAATACATAAAACAATAGATAAAATCTTTTTTTTTTAATATATAGTACAATAGTTTAACTGAATTGAGTTTCAAATTTCAGAATAACATCAGACAACTTCCTTTTCCATGCCCAAAAATATTTGATTTAGTATTCTCCCAAAACTTAGGCCTGAGACATCAGTTTCAATAATAAGGTTGACTTTAGGATCAAATATTTCTAAAGAGTGTAATTTTTTAACTATTTGAGAAAATTGAGATTCTTCCTAAATCTCTTAAATAAAAGTATACAAATTGTTGTTAGATCGAGTATAAAATCAATCACTTCATTTATACATTCTAAAAAAATTTGTAATTGGATTTTATCTTTTAATTCATCTGAAAATTTAGTGATGAATTCTAAAGAGATATTAACGGAGGTATACTTTTCTGGGAAATACTATCAAAATCCAAGAATCTAAGTTTAGATTGAGGTATGTTTCTTTTCCGATAGAATTAAACCATTATCTTTCATTATCCTATAAAATTGATTCACATGATATATATATTGATTTATAGAATCTAAAAATACTTATATGTCATCTAAATAGATTAGGGTGAAGTGGAAGTAATCATTAAATATAATATTCATAATATTTTTAAATTTAGAAGGTACATTTTTTAACTAGTGCCAGGATATTTTATTCATAGTGACCAAAGTGCACCACAAAAATAGTTTTATATTTATCTTCTTCATTTAATTGTATTTAATAAAAACCAAATTTAAGATCAAACTTTAAAATTATATTTTTATTATGTAATTTATTTATCAAATCCTTTTTTATTAGGTATGAAATATATGATCCATTATAATGTCTTATTTAATGGTTTGTAATCTATTATTAACCGAAGACCCCCATCTTTATAATTTTGAAGCATTAACTACATAAAAAAGCAACTCTAAAGAGACTTGTTTGGCATACTCAAAACCTTGTCTAAATAAATTTTTTTTTACATAGATATAAAAGTATCTTTGAATTGATGGTATGTAATAAAATGGAATGAAATGAAGTGGTAATTAATGGAGTTCTATTGTTTGAATTTGTAAATAATAGATGTAATAGAATTGAACATGATAAAATCAATTATATTTAATTCTCTATTTTTTTAATTCATTCAATTTGAAGTATATGTGATGAAATGAGAGATTTTTAATAAATTAACTATACAATAAAGTAGGATCTATATTTCACTTTACTCCACTTCACTTTGCTATGTTGTGTTCCGCTCTATTATGTGTATTGATTTGCTTTCAGTATGAATATTATCTTATGTAAAATCAGACTCATAGCGTACGGAGATAGTGTGATTTTTTCTTTTCCATAATATATTGGGTTGTTCTTAACAAAAAAAACTTTTATAAAAAAACTGTATACTTTTAATTTTTCTTGAATATCTGGATATTGAAATTGTTTTGATATCTTTTTATAACGTATTTCTTTATTAATAAAATTAATGTGTTTTTTTTTTAATATTTATTTGATTAATGTAATATATGACTTTATTTTGAATAGATTTAAAATCTCTAATTTTTTGTTGATCTAAAAATTTAAATTTAAATTCTTTTCCTAAAGCATTAGTTATTATTGCAGTTTACTTACTTCGAAGGGGTAAAGTAAAGATAAAAATGGAGTTTCTAAGACAATGGATTTTTTAATATTTTTAACAAGGAGGAAAAAAAGTACTATAACATATTCGATTTTTACAAATCTTAGATTAGAAAATTTATAAGAAACTTGTAATTTGTTACTATTTGTTATTTGTTAATTTTGTAATAGACTCATTGTATTATTCTTTTTTGGAATATACAAAACAGTACTATATATACTGTTTAAGTAACAAACTAAACAGAATTATAACAAACTAAACTAACTGTTTAGTAACAAACTAAACAGAATTACAACAAACTAAACAAAATTATTTTCATCATGTAATAGCCCCCCACAAGTTGGACTATGGATGTCTAATAGACCAAGCTTGGAAATAAGAGAATCGAAAGAGGGAGTTGCCAAAGGCTTGGTGAGAACATCTGCCAATTGAGCAGCAGAAGAAACTGGTAAAAGGTGGATGAGACCAGTTTGGATTTTCTCACGAATGACGTGGCAGTCAATTTCGATATGTTTTGTCCGTTCATGGAAGGTGGGGTTGTGAGCAAGGTAGATAGCACTTTTGTTGTCACAATAGAATGAGCTAGGTTGATCAAAGGAGATGTGGAGATCCTTGAACAAATACTGCAGCCATTGCAATTCACAAGTCAAGCTTGCCAAGGCCCTGTATTCCGCTTCTGAACTTGATTTGGATACTGTAGACTGCTTCTTGGATTTCCAGGATATGAGGGAATTGCCAAGGAACACACAATATCCAGTTACGGATCTGCGGGTAGTAGGGAAACTTGCCCAATCTGAGTCTGCGAAGCCAGAGAGTTTGAGTGGAGAGGAAGATGAATAGAACAAACCCTTGGCAAGAGCACCTTTGAGATACTTGAGTACTCGAATTGTTGCAGAATGATGAACTTGCATAGGTTGTGAGATGAATTGGCTGAGCTGTTGAACGATGAATGCAAGGTCAGGTCTGGTGGTAGTCAGATATAGAAGTTTTCCAACAAGCCTTCGATAAGTTGTGACGTCTTCGAAAGGTGGTGAGTTATCATCATGAAGCTTCAAGGAGGAATCGAAGGGAGTAGAGCAAGGTTTAGTAGCCAATAAGCCACTGTCTTCGAGCAATTCCAAAGCGTACTTTCTCTGATTGAGAAAAATGTCATGAGTTGATCTGGCAACTTCTAGACCAAGAAAATATTTAAGCCTACCAAGGTCCTTGATTTTGAAAGTGGAATCAAGGAAGCATTTGACATATTGGATTTCCTGCAAATCATTACCGGCTAAGACAATATCATCAACATAGACTAATAGGGCAGTAAAAGAAGAGTCATGTGATTTTGTAAAAAAAGAATGATCAGCAGAAGAATATGAGTAGCCAAGAGAGATAAGGGCAGTGGACAATTTCGAAAACCACTGTCTGCTAGCCTGCTTCAGGCCATATAAAGACTTATGCAATTGTTTCCAGTGATTTCTGGTAAACAACCGCTAGTCTTCCAAACTATTGAATAATCTTTGTTAACGCTATTCAATCTCTCTGGTAACTCACAGGATCGACTAGATTGATCCTAGGACTCCTTGGATATTAAGGTTACTCTCACAATCGAACAATTATTCATGGTATGCTATTGTACAAGTGTTTGGTTTATTTCGATCCCTCTCTCTAAGAGTTTAAGAATGTGGTCAAAATGTATATGAAAACTAAGTTATACGAATAAATGCTAATTGTAATGCTGATTGAAGAGACATATAAAACTGTATGAAAAGTGAAGTAAATGGTTTCGATTTATAAAACATTTAACATAAAATGTTTCTGGAATGTAGAAGTTGAAAATGTGAAGAAA